TTGTGGCTTTTGCTGAAGGCGCTTGTGGTTGTTGTCGAGCGACCGAGAATGGTGGGTAGTTTTGCCACAGGGGGCTCACCTTAAAATGTGATTTCATGGCGGGCGCAGGTGTGGGGGGGGGGGGGGGGGGGGGCGCAGCCCCCCCCCAGCAGCAGACCACATACACGTAAAACAAGTTTTCAATGCAAAGAAGAAGAAAGAAACTGCGCCGGCCGGACTATTTCAACACGTAGCTGTTGGTTGGTTGGTCCGTTGGTTTATTGGTTGGTTAGGTGGTCGGTGAGAATGTGATGTCGTGGGGGGCGCTGGTGTTGGAGAAGGAAAGAGAAGAAAGAGAAAGAGAAGAGAAGAACAAAAAAGACAGAGACCTTTTTGTCCAGTCAAGTGTATTGCACTTAGTAACTACCTTGTGACATGATTCGTAACTAGCAGTATCTACGTATCTGACCATCTCGCCCTACTCCGCTAATCTCGCCGGAGACATACGACGAAGGAGCGACGGTGTAGCGAAGGATGGGAGTAATTTTTTTCAAAAAGCCCAAAGAAGTAACAACCCCCAAAAACACTGAAAGAAATACAGCCTTATAAAATCAATGATAGGTATGACTTGCTTCATGTTTTTAGATAGTCCAAAAAAAGAGAGGGACGAGGACACGTTTGATGAGATCATGTTGTTTCCCTGGGAAGATATTAGGATAGTAAGGTATCATGAGAGAATGTAAGAAAACACAGTGGTTTCTGAGAAAATAGCCAGCACTGTATTTTTATCGGAAAACACTGTTGCCTGTTGCGCTTTGGGCGGTGTCTCGTGCAATTCATGCATGAGGCGCAAAAAGCGCGCCGTATACGGAAGCAGAATCTGCAGAACATGCTCTTCGAAAGTGAGCCGTTGGGCAGCTTGGGAGGAGTGCACTGTGGACAGTGGAAATTGAGAGGAGGTGCGATGCTTTGGGGACGGCGACGAGGCACGAAGGCTGATGAAAACTTTATTGCAGAAAGAGTAGAGGTGCAGGATTGAGCTCTGTGCAGTGTCCTGAGGATATCAGCAAGGACGCTGGCTGACGTACCTGCTATGATCGTCTTTCGTTGTGGCCTTGTTTTAAACTAGAACAAGCTCACCAGCCATTGCACCCGTTCAGCACCTCAGTAAAGGGCTAATGCGTTCAGACATCTCACTGACTCTCCGGTTCCCACCGAACCACCCCTTTCAAGTGTGCGTGTGTGTGAGTGTGGACCCTTTTTGGCCGTCGGGAGGTTCCAATCTTATTTGTGTCGCCGATACAGAGAAGTAGTGTAGAAGTGGATTTCGGATGTTCTGTCCAGTCACTAGATGACGCTCAACCATGGCAGTGGACCTCATTTGCGGACCACATTGGACTCACGCATAGAGACAAAAGTCGCAGCAACGAAGCGTTGCGACCTTGGATAGAAGTTATCACGTTCGTTCGAGTGTCGCGTCGGGCAGGTAGACCTGGCAATGGCTCTC